AAAAAAAACATCCTATTAATCCCTGCCCTGACACAGGAGCATGTACTGTACCTGGGCACGCCGTGACCTTTCAGCTCTTTGTGTTTGTGTTTGCACAGGTCACCATGTTGGACTCTTGTTTTCAGGTGCTTCAGAGATCTGCGCCGGAGCAGAAGCAGCAGCTGGCCGTGCACTCCAAGCATGTGGCGGCGTGTGTGACGGAGCTCGTCCAAACAGCTGAGGCCATGAAAGGTGACCACACGCACCCACAGTTCATCACACACACTCAGGAGCACATTTAGGCTAGATGACTTTTAGTTACCAACGCCCAACTCTAACAAATATCTTGCTTTTGTGTTGTTTTTCTTAATATAATTTATGAGAGTTTCTGTGTTTTCCAGCAATCATTATTGTTTTTATTATAGAGATTGGAGAATTGATAGAAAAGCAGATGAATGATGAAAAGATCTAACCCATTGGTTGCATTATAATGTGTTTTATTTGTTTATTTTTATTTTATTTGAGCTAGTAAATCAGTAACCATGTGTGCTCAGATACTTGTGCTCTGCATTGACAGGAGGTAATAAATAATAAGCAGATTTTAATTTCAAAATGACTGGGAGACATTGTTCTGGAAGCCCAGCAGAGGGAAAGTGGCCGAGCTGAAATACAGTAGCAGAATAAATTCAGCTTTGAGTGAGAAACAGGGGGCGGGGCCTCCCAGTTGGAGCCAACTCAGTTTGATATAATGTGGAGAAAATAAAAAATAAAACACAACCACAGGATTGCGGAGTAGTTGGAGATTAGTCGAAGGAAGCTTAACCCTCCGGTGCATGAATAACATTACCGCACCGGTGAGTCTCATCCACCCAACCTGTCTGCATCGTTCATAAAAACGGGTCGTGAAATTCTCTTTGGAACGTTGCAATAATAACGTAAAGTGATTGTCACGTGAAGCGTGTCAAATCAAGCTCTTTATGATGGTTACGGAACGAACACAAACTAAAGGGTTTCTTCTGGATGCTGCAGGACTGAATGTGACAGGGGTAATAGATTGTRTTTGGAGGAGAATTAGATTTCAGTGCACAGCCTGACACACAGTGGGGCTATCTACTTCACCTCTCTAATGTCCCATGTGCTCTCTCTTTCTCTCTGCTCTCCCCTTTCCCTCTCTGCTTCAGATGGAGGTAAGTGGGATGTGTTTTGTTCCACCCCCCACCCCACCCCCAGATCACCTTTCCCCGGAGTCAGAAGGGGCTAGACGATAGACGGCTGGGGGAGCAAAAAGGGATCTCTTTATAATCTGTGAAAACGTTCCATCTGCTGTACCATCCTGCCTCCAAACAGCTCTGTTTTATGAACATTTAAAAATCTATCAAATAAAATACAATGATCCATCAAATAGGAAATTTATCAAAATTTATCTTAGAGGCATTACTGTGAAACAGCAAGGAGTCGAGATAAAATCATCTCAGTGATGTGTCGTCTCTTTCAATGGATGCTCGAGTGTTTGGAATGAAAATAAATTTTATTAGTGTTTTTATTATCGCCCAAAGGTAAAGGTGGGCAAATTTTAATGAAACACGCAGGTTATATTTATGTAATGTGCATTTACAACTTTTTTGAGCGAGTCGATGCAAGATGGCTGCTGAACTTAAATAATATAATGGTTCTAATTCAGTCAGTTTTACAGATATTGTGCTAAAATTTGGTGTAGATGTAGCTGAGAGTGACTCRGAATACGTACTCCAGTTGCTTCTCATTTTGTCAGATCTTTGCTAGAAATTCTAGCATTACCTGACTGAGTTAACCTTGTTTGTCTGTTAGCAAAATATTTTATGAACCGCTGGTTTTATTGATGAGTTCAATAAGTAATCATTGGATGTTTATCTACATTTGATTACCTTTTGGAGTCACCCCAATTCAAGATGGCCACCATAGCTGAACAAAATGACAACTAAAAATGTCAACAAAACTGGCCTTACCTCAAGTCAGTTTTTTTCAGATACTGAACTAAAGTTTGATGTGGTAACATATGAGAGTTGTTACAACCAAAAGTGTCAAGTAATGAGGTACAAATATTTTACTTTTACACTTTAACTTGAGTAAAAGTTTGGAGTTGATTCTTCATCTTCTACAKAAGTGCTTTAAACCCAAGTGTCTATATTTCTACCAGAGTCATGAATGGGAATACTTTCGATACCTCGGTTTACAACACATATTGTGAGCATGACATCTCATGATACCACATGAGATAATGTTATTCTYRTGGTTTYCTTAAAAMTACTTTGTTGTTTCTCTCACATAAGATTCATCTAAAACTCTGGCATGAAAGGYGRTWGGTGATATRTAATCATGTAGTACTAGATCTTTCATTTTCATGGCTGTTTGCTTTGTGAATGCATGTTTAAAAAATAAAGAGAAAGAAAAAAACGCATTTGGTGATCAATGTCTGCCTTTGATCTCCYACCAGGATCAGAGTGCGTGGACCCCGAGGACCCCAACTTCATTGCCGAGACCGAGCTCCTCGGAGCAGCAGCCTCCATTGAAGCTGCGGCCAAGAAACTGGAGCAGCTCAAACCCAGGGCCAAGCCCAAGGTAACAAGTGCCCTGCTCAACCTTTCCCTCCCACATAACCCCCCTCCCACACACGCACACACACACACACACAACTCCCTGCTCGTAATCAAGCAGCAGACGCTGACGTGCAGCGTAGGTAGGAGAAGGTGACTGACTTTGAAGTAGGAGGTCTTCTGTTTTATTTTTCCAGGAACAAAGCTGCTAACATGAAAATCATGAAAAGAGAGGATGAGACTCTGCTCTACGCAGTGTGTTGACTCAGGCAGCTAACTTACAAAACTTACTTCAAAGGTATTTCATGGACTACGTTTTGAGTTGTGCTGCCAGGAGATGCGATCACACAGCTGTGCTGTCAAGCTTGTGTTGGACTGAGCTTCAGTGCGCGATGAACTGTTGACCCTTTGTGAGGGAGAGGCTCTCCGTCTTCCTGAATATGTTTCATTTGTTTTATTGTGGTCTTCATTTCTAAACTGCACTGAGAGGCATTTACCTCTATAGACACCGGAGATGAAACTCCAAACAAAAAGAAAATGTACAGAAAAATATTTATGTGATGCTGATTTTGGATAGTACAACTACTTTTCATGTCTTTGTGTGTAACGCAAGTTTGTATTTGTGATATGTTCTGCATGATAGTGCCTTTTTATCTGCCTGTTTGTCTATTTCCCCTTTTTTGTGGGCTTCTTCTTGTAAATGTGATCAGCTCAACCCTCCATCTGTGTGATATGAACGTATATTAGATTTAGCTTGACCTAGTTTTAATACAGATCAAATAAAGCTGTCTTATGTTATAATTCCACAGCTGCAGACTGTATAAATGAGGATATTTGTGTTTGTGAAAGGAGATTAATMAGGAAAAGCATTTTTCTTGTCATTTTTAGCATATCAGTAGCGCCACCTAGTGAGGTTTTAGAAGGCAAGCCTTGTTATTTCAAGGTTAAAATGAGATACGTTTACAATTTGAACATGTCTTCTATCGCTTAGATATAAAAGGTAGATATGTGCATTAATGATTTTTGTGAGATATGAGACAAAATTATGCACAAAAACTCATGTTTGACTATAAAAATGAATCTTTGGCAAACAAGTGTTTGGTTATTCTAAAATGCAAATTTAATTTGCTGTAAGATACACAGAGATAAGTTTATGACATTACGTTATTTACATATTAGTGTTGCAGAAGTAAAGCAGCAGAATAGAAGGCTAACAGATTTACTTTAAGAAAAATCAGGCTCCCGTTTTCAAACAGATGTTTCAGCTTTGTTTGTTTTTCCCAACGACTGCTTGGATTTTTCCTCTTCCGTTATACTCCCACTGTTCTTTACTCCTTCATACATCCCACCCTTTAAGGGCGAACAGCTCTCCTGCTCCCAGCATGCTTTCCTTACTCCCCCCACACCCCCAACCCCCTAAGCCATTGTAGACCTGGAAGCCTTCTGTGCAGGGCTCTGTCTGATATGTTTGATATATTAGGTTGTTATTCAGTCCAACTATATATCAAACATATTCCTACAGTGTCCCGCCCTGTCTCCAGCCACGTGTGCCTTATGTGTTTATGGAGGTCTGTGGTCAATCACGTCCTGTTAACTTCTGAAGCAGAGGTGGTCATTTGTTAAATGTCCCTGAACTGACCCCCCCCCCCACCACCACCACCACCACCCCGACACCCTCCCTGAGCCTCGTGCAGTACTTTAGTTCAGGATTAGGAAGTGGATTATTATATTTACAGGCTGCATTTTGTGTCACCTTAAACAGTTTTACCATTTGTTTTATGAGGAAAGATTTAAGGCTAAGCTGTATTGTTTCAGCCGCTGTGRACTTCAGAGTTTTAGGAGGCTTCATGTTTACAGAGATTTCTGAAATTTTAAACTTGCTTTTGCTGCTAACCTATTTTTCTGTTCTTGCGTCACAGCTCAAGATTTGTTTTTGTTGGGCTGTTTTTTTTTATTATTCTATCCTTTTAAGACTAAAACATAGTTTGTTTGTTTTCCTTCAGCAGGCAGATGAGACGCTGGATTTTGAGGAGCAGATCCTAGAAGCAGCAAAGTCCATCGCTGCAGCAACTAGCGCTCTTGTGAAATCTGCCTCTGCAGCTCAGAGAGAACTGGTGGCACAAGGGAAGGTCAGTCTCTCGCACACTAAGATGACAGAAAGACATTTAATACTGCAAAATAATATTTGCATTTGTTTGCAAATTCCTCCATCAGGTGGGATCCAATGTAGCCAATGCAGTGGATGATGGCCAGTGGTCACAGGGTCTCATATCAGCTGTAAGTTTCTTTGAAAGATAGTTTGGTAATAAATATATAGTCTTTTTGAACAAGCTGAGATATTGTGTTAATTAAGGTAAATATCAAGRAATAAAATGGGTATTCAGATGAAATATCTGAATACCCAAGCAAGTAAGGGGTGATGGGGCCTATCTTTAAGGCTACTTCTGGAACATGGCCACCATCATTAAAGCGGCCATACTGGATCAAAGTCCGTTTTTTCTAGTTGGAAGGTGGTCAGTTAACATGGTGTTAAACACAGTGTGTTCAGCATATTGATCACATCAAATAACAGTCAAGGTTCGCATTGTTTGTCGCAGCTTTTTGTGTTGATAATTTTTGGACCACTAGAGATATTATAAAATCTGCATGTGGCAATCAGTTTCTGAGACAATTCTGATCTTTGTTCTGCTAAATAACCATCTTCCTATTGGGAAAAAAATGACATGAAATAGCAGCTTTCAAGATGGTGGCCATGGTCCAGACGTAGCCTAAAAGGTAGGTCCGCCTCACCCAACTTTGCTGGGGTATTCAAATATTTAGTGGTCCCTTTATCTTCTGAAATAAAAGGGTGTCCTGTGACTTTTGACTCACCCTGTTGTTACAAATACTAAAAGTCGTGGCAAAGTCTTCGCAATGGAGCTGATGGTTTGGATTTATGAATGGTGAAAACAACGCAAAGCGGTCCCAAGTCGACACCAAAATGCGACGTCAGAACACTGTTTGTCACTGATTGGCTAGGGGGTGGAGTCGTTTYGTCTGAGCTCCCTTTACAACACCAACTCGAGGTGCTATATTTTCAATTGTAGCAGCGACATTAGTCGTGTTTCCATCCAATTTTAATTCAAATTTTTAGCAATTTTTTTAAATTTCAGAACTGATTGGGCAAATGTGTTTCCATCTCTCATTTTGGGCATTAACTCTTCTTCGAAAACCCCAAAAACCACCTCCACCAACCGCCCAAAACACACCCACTGTAACTGGACTGGAACGTCAATGGAAAAACACCCGAACTGACCTGTTCCGACACTTACCGTACTGACACTACACTGAGTGGCACTAGTGGAAAAGGGCCAAAAGTAGAGAAATAGTTAAATTGTAATAAACATACAGAAGAAACTATAGGCTAAACAGTAAAACAATAGTGTTCCTGCAGAACCAGCAGTCACACAGTTGACCTCAGCCTGGGTTTTTGAATGAATTTGTTCCTGCTGCAGGCCCGTATGGTGGCAGCGGCCACCAGTAACCTGTGTGAAGCAGCTAACGCCTCGGTGCAGGGCCACGCCAGTGAGGAGAAGCTCATCTCTTCAGCCAAGCAGGTCGCGGCCTCCACAGCTCAGCTGCTGGTAGCTTGCAAAGTAAAGGCCAACCACGATTCTGAAGCCATGAGAAGACTACAGGTGACACAGAAACACAACTTTACCTCAGCTTTGTAAATAAACAAACAGCGTGCATGCTAACTTTTTGAATATGTTCTTTTGTTTTTCCCAAGGCTGCCGGCAACGCTGTGAAGCGAGCTTCAGACAATTTGGTCAAAGCGGCTCAGAAAGCAGCGTTTGACAAAACCGAGGATGACAGCGTTTTGGTGAAGACCAAATTCGTTGGAGGCATCGCTCAGGTGAGGGGAGGAAAAATCCTTGTGAAGGCTGTAACACGAATCCTTTTCCACAGTTTGGATTGCCCTTTTCCGCTGAACGTTACTGAGTGTTTGTGTTTCTTGCTGATATGCTGAAATGCCATGGTTGTTTTTGTGAATTTGTGATGAGATCCTGCAGATCAAACGGGGAGATCAGCCCATCAAATCTGTTTCAAAGCTGTTGATCAGGTTTGTTGGACATTAACCGCTCCAAAATATCACATTTCCTTGCTTCAGCAAAAAAAAAAAAGGTTTTCTTTAATCTTAGCACAAATAAATATGGAAATCTGCAAAACAGGGAGTGTTTTTTCCTCCTCTTTTTTTATTTATTTATTTATTTTTCTTTCATATTGTGATTGGGTTCCCCTCACAGTCAGGGGTTCACCTTCGCTGGGCTTCATCTTGTGGCTTTTTATCTCACTGCTGTCACTCTCAAACAGAGGGGATTCTGGGACCTGACTGTCACTGTAGCAACTTCACACAATGACTGACACTTTTTACATGTGAGAAAAATAATAATGTTTTCAATATTTTGTTTCTCCCTGTGTTTCTATTTTATGTTGTTTTAATTTTTGCATTACATCAGTAATTTGTATCAAATAGCCATAAAGAAACAGAGCAGTAGTACTGCTTTGATTTTCTTGATTCCTAAACATTTGTAAAACCATTTAGAGTCGCTGGTAATAATTTGTTAAAGCAACCAAACTTTGTTGACAGTAATATTACATCACTGGTAGGTTTTTATCTCTACTCTGCTTAGGTGAGACAGTTTTCTGCTACTTTGGAATTTTCTAATGTGAGTTTATTAGCTAACCTGTTCAAACACCGAAAAAGGTCATGATAGAGCAGTGGTTCAGTCGAACCCTAGGGGTTCGATGAGCYGGTCTCAGGGGTTCGGCGGAGCCTCTGCCGCAGAGGTAAAGACACACTTGTGTAAAGTCGTGATGACACGCCCCGCTTGGCCATCACGTGCTGCAGAGGATTACGTGAGGTTGCTTGGCCAATCAGTGCTGGCCCCAAAAAGTATTATGTGGATTCAAAACGACAAAAAACAAATTAACTTCACTAAAAAGTGTTCAGTGAATGCGCATACGAAACTGGTGGGTTCGGTACCTCAAAAAAGGTTAAGAACCACTGCGATAGAGCATCAAGAACTTTTTCATGATAAAAAAAAATAGGTTAAACAAAATAATGACATTGTCTGACCAGCAGGAGGCAAAACGAGCTGAATGGAAAAAGACTGAGGTCCTAACAAAATGAAGTTCAGTCCACTTCAGTTTATTTGTATAGTGCTAATCCACAAGTCATGTTAAGGCACTATACAAAAATAATCAAGTTCAGATCCATATACAAATCCAATAAAGATCAGTTAGTTATAATGATTTGTTATAAAATACATTTACATACATTACATTCTGAAATCCCCATTAGTATCTAATACTTTGTCAAATCTTGACTTTGATGCAATCCCTCATCCTGAGCAGCACATTGGCAACAGTGAAAAGAGACACAACACCCTTTTAACACAAAAAACCTCCAGCAGGATGAGCCGCCGTCTCTGCTGGCTGCGGGTTGAGAGGACATGAAATAGATGCAAACAAACACAGAAGAATTGATCCACGTGTATTTACTATGAGGAAAAACACAGATACTAACACTAATAGTTGCATGTGATAACATGCAGAGGAGAGAGAGAGTAAAAACAGTAACAGAGTGAGGCAATCATTGTCCTTTAGCTGTTAAAGTTGGTTCTACAAAACAGGAACTTGAAAACTAAAAGCTTTGCCTCCCGTTCTACTTTTAGAACTCTAGTAAGTAAGTAAATCTACAGTCTGCGAGCAAAGTGCTGTTAGGAGCAATATATTTACTACAAGATGGAGCTTGGAAGGTTGGAGGTTTTAAATTCTATACTGAAGCTAAAATGTGCGACCCATCACATCGAACCGAGGATTAAGTCCCAAAGTGGTATGTGTGGAAATAGGCAGCTATAGAGCACTGGTTAAAACTGCATTTTGTCAAAAAAAATTATAAAAAAAAAAACCTTATCTATGGGTCTTTTAGATGAAATATCTGAAATCTAATTTTTATTTGAAGTGCTTTTATGAGCAGTAGCTACATAAAACATGACGGGAACAAAAAGCCTTCAATTTTTGATATTTTCCCAAAGCAAAGCATTTTTTTTCTTTCCAGCTGGTAAATCTTAATATCCAAAAATAGTTTGAGGTTTCCTCTTTAAAATGACATAAAAGTTACTCATAGGAAAACTTAAAAATAGGATTCAAACCAAATATCAAGGGATTATTGTGATTAGGAAGGAAAAACGACACATCCCTGGAACTGCTCATGACGTCAGAATAATCTTGGTATCAAAATGTAGCTTAAAAAGCAGGAATCTGAAAATGTGCTTATGTTATTTTGACCAAATTTGACCCAATCCTCAGTTTGATGTGATGGGTCACATATAGTCTCTCTTTTCAGTTCTCATTAGAACTCTGACAGCAGCAGTTTGGATCAACTGAAGATGTTTTCGAGAGTTTTTCGTACATCCAGACAATAATGACTTACAAACGTCCAGCCTAGAAGCGATAGATGGGCCAGTCAACATTTGCATGTGAACATTATTTACACAAGATCGGAGGGAGTTCAGAACAAACGGCTTAAAGCTCGGTCTCTGTTCTTGATCTCCGCAGATCATCGCCGCTCAGGAAGAGATGCTGAGGAAGGAGCGGGAGCTGGAGGAAGCCCGGAAGAAGCTGGCTCAGATCCGACAGCAGCAATACAAGTTTCTGCCCAGCGAACTGAGGGAGGACGAGGGCTGACCGAGGCAGAGCGCACCGCGTGTGTGCTGACATGCAGCTATAAGACCCTCTTCCCAGCGGGAGACCGCTTTTACTCGGACACAATTATTGAACACACAGCACTTGAAAACAGGCCTGTTTGGTGACGGGGAAAAGAGAAAAAAAAACAAGTGCCTGTGCTCTGTGGTGTATTTGTATGAGTGTGTGTGATGTGTGTGTTTGTCGGTGAATGGCATTGACAATTCAGACTTTAATATAAAGAAGGTTGTTATTGTTTGAAAACGGACACAAGGATCAAGTTATTTGATTAAATCAATCTTTACTTTATAAATGTTAGTGCATCATGAGCATTACTGACTGTTACAGGCATGAATCAAAGATATCACATGGAAACACTCCTCTATAAGTACAAAAAGTCCTGTAATTGTTAAAAAAAAGGTTTAGAGATTGAGATGCTAAAAATCCTTTAAAAGAACAAATAAAAAGGAGTAAGGCGATGCCTCATTTCRCCACAAATTGCATGTGCCATAATCTCAACAAAAACAACCCAACTACTAACCAACTGAATATCGCAAATGTAGCTTAACCAACTAATATTTTCAAATCAATCTTTCTTTAAAACAAATAAAGATGCCAAACATAAAGTAAGAAGCTCAGTTAAGCATGTGTATAGTCAGTTAATTTTATAAGACATTCTTAAAAAATGTGTTTTATTGTTCCAGGAATCTGGATGAAATGTGACCAAAAATCTCTTGCTGCTCGTATAATATTTCACTCAATAATCTCCCACCAGTTTCAGAATACAGAAAACTGGTCATATACTATTATCATGAAATATTTTTTTCATTTTTTTTATTTTCTTTATTTTTTGTTTTTGTTTTGGTCTTTGTGTTTTAATCCATAACCATCAGCCACTTTTCATTTCTGCACTTATGTACAGGAACACGCTCACATTC